GTGGCTTTGGTTCAAAAATGTTTTGATGGTTTCATTATATGTCAAGGTTTTTATTCCCAATGTGCACTCCTCACCATCTCATAATTAGGAAAGCATCGCATGCCTTGTCCTTGTTCCTTTAGTATGACTTGGAGGTATTTTTAGTTGTTTTTCATTTTGGGGGGGGTCCAGGACACTAGTATGTTGAAATGGCCAATGATAGTAATAGTTTCTTTTTTTTGTTCAAACAATTTATCCTCACCTGCTGCCAATTTCCATTCCTTTGTAAAACCCACAATCTGATGGTAGGCAGCTATGGATATGTATGTAGGATTTCTTTTGTGTTTTCATATTGAAAAAGACAACTGGGGAACCCAAGGAGAGAAAAAAACAAAAAATGTGTGTTCAAAACACAAGGCTGGTGGATGGATCGACAGTTCAAAAATTCTTTTTACAGGGCAATTCAATGTAATAATGTTATATAATTTTAACCAAATGGACTCTCGCATTGCTAATGTGTTTTCATATAGTATTATTTGCCAATATGCCTACCCTGCTTAAAGGAAAACTATGAGGTGAGTGATTTTCACTCAACCTCATAGTCCGAGCCGACATGTGAGCGAACACATACTGTCCCTCACTCACTTCTCCCTGCAGAGAGATGTGACTGTCACTCACGGCTCCCTGCAGGGATTCCCCCCCCCCCTCCTGCTCTGATCCTCCGGCGCTGACTGGCGGAACGGACGGGGAGGGGGCGGGTACAGCTGGCTGTGCCTCCTAGATAGGCAGAATCAGCTGTCACTCACTCAGCAGGGTGGACCTCAACAGTAATGTCGGGGTCCGTCCTGGCTGTGGCGGTGGCAGTATACCGCAAGTTGTAGCTCGCGATATACTGAGCTTTGGGTCACGGAAGGGTGCTACTTTATGTACTCCCGTGACCCTTTGAACTATGGGGATAAACACTTACCCCATAGTTCTCCTTTAATGGAATGCTAAACTTTTTTATTTTATCGTTTCCACACTGAAAAGGCTGTCAAAGCTGTCCTCAAGGAGTATACAGAATATTCAGCATATCTATATATTCATAGTTTTATTTTTTTATACTGGTTTGGGGGTGTGACTATTATAAATCTTAAAAAAAGGTTTGTTGATGTACAGGCATAATTACATGAACTAAAAAAAATAACAAATAAAATCTGCACGTTGGCCTAGCACGGATGAACTGGGCAATGTTCATGCTACTTTGTTATATTCCACACAGAAAAAGGATGTTAAAATGAAACCATTGCACAACACCACATGAACAGGGCTAAAAATTAGCTTTAGTAATAAAGATTGGCTAATGTAACAAATAGAATATTTTAACAGGAGCTGTGATATTATTTTCAAATAAAGGCTTATGTGCATGCATCTATTTATAAATACATGAAAAAGGCAAAAGAGTGACATTATATGATTATGAAAACAACAACAACAAAAAAAATATATACACATATATAACATCCAACCACCCTGTTAAATACTAATGATACATTCTATAGCTTTTGGCAAAAAAACATGCACTTAAGAATGCGCAACAGAGTGGGCTAAATAAAATTACTTTGAAAAAGGAAGCAGTTGAAATATCCAAACACATGCCAAGAACTATACAATGTCCAATAGGATCATCCAGCAACGATTCTATTGTAAATCCTCAAGCAATTTCTTTATTATTTTTATGTATATATTGTTCTTTATAGCCTACAGAGTATAATCCACTATGTAAAAGTTACTTTGATAAAGGAAGCAATTGAAAAGCAAATGGCAGAAATGCTACAACAAGCAAGATATTTCCCTTTCCACAATCCTATATGCTGGTCTTTGGAGTGTGTAACCAGAATACCTGGAGTAGGCCCACGCAAGCATATGATGGTGTCTGGGCTGGGATTTGGACCCGGTACTCAGGGCAGCAGTTCTAACCCCTAATCCATTGGGCTGCCACAAGGAATACCACATGGATATTAGCATAGCCTACAGGATAATATCCACTCTTTAAAAGTGATTTTAAAAAGGAAGCAGTTGAAACTCAAATGGCAGATAGGTTACAAAAAGCAAGATATTTCCCTTTCCACAATCCCATACAATACTATCTAACATCATGCAGCAATCCTTTAAAATATACCAACAAAGGATTTACTAACATGTGCATGCTAAGGCGGCACTTCCGCGAATTTCAGCATTTACGAACGTGTGCATTTCTAACTGCCATTGATTCACGCCTGTTAGTACACTATCGCGCCATACTCATATGCGCTTGCGCATTCCGGACATGTTTTTTCTTGGCGCATATGTGTCAGGTTAGTAAATGTAACACTTATAGTTATTTATAACCTCTCTATAGAAGGCTATAAATACATGTGTTACTTTTACCCTTTACATTATTTAGCATGAATACAATTGTCTCTGTACACTGAGTCGCACACAGTCATTGCACAGGCTCAGCAGGAATCTTGCCGAGATATAGTAACACCCATGCACATGCGTGGGAGTTATTTTATTGGGGCCCAAGCCAGAGACTCTGAAGCCGGAAGAATATTGGAGCAAAGATGGAAGCGCTGGCGAGGGAGGAGATTGTGGACATTGCAGCGCTGGAGGGGATTCATTTACAGGCAAGCTTTCATTTTAGCACATTATGGCTAGAAGCTCCAGGGAGCCCATTCTGCTTTACTTCTAGCTGTACCTTTAGATCAAAACCCCCTAGCATGTAGAGGGAAAGCATGCTGCATCTGAGTTCTGATGTTTTGTATACTAGAGGGGAAAGGGGGCACATAGAGGTTATTTATATATTAAAAAAAAGAGCTGTTCTTTGATACGAATATTATATCACATGCTAGGTGCACCTTAATTTTATTATTGGATTTGTTATGATTTGTACACTGCATATTCTGCAGGATAAAGGGAAAATTCAAAAAACAGTTTATTTATTCTACTGAGTTACTTAATAGTACAGTCAATTAACAGACCCTTTCCTCCATGGATAAACAGCATTAGTACAGACTACAGAATACTCTTAGTACAGAGTACACAAGGTAATGCTGTGTCACAGTGGCTCTCACAAGCACAAATTTTTCTATACAGCAGCCAGCAGGACCTGTTCCTCTGACAGACTCCTCCAAATAAGAAAAGCCAATCATTGTTAGCAGTACGGTGTTTAGAAGGGAGCACTAATCTGCCCTAATGGACATGTCATGAGCTTTCTGTTACTCCCACCCTCTGCTGACAGGAGGCTGTCATGTGACCATATCATAAGGCTAGTACACAGTATAGGATACAGCGACCAAATACTAAACATACCAGAAACAGAGAGACCGTGTGTGTGTGATATTAAAAGTATGCTACAGGCAATAATACCACTTTTGTTCCATTGTTTTTGGCTCGTCTTTGAATAAATTAGTCCTAATTCCTGCATTCTCATACATTTTCCCCCTCTCCAATATACAGCTATTATCAAACCAAAAATAAATTATAATATATAACTATAATAAATGCAAGGCATCGCATGCATGCAGCAGTGAGAGATGGTCGGATACTAGCACTGCTCGGCACAAGTTATCTTTCATTAGTTGACCAGAAGGCCACAGATTTCCCATTTCTAGCCGACTTGCTAACTGGACATTCCAGCACCCGCTGGCATAAGCCTACAGCTGAAAGGCAAACATTGGGTACAACATAAAACCACACCATACAATTGGCACACGCCAGCACAGATAGCTCTGGACACCATTAACAAGGACTCTGCCTCTAGACACTAGGACTGATTCTGAAGACATCCAAAACCTTTTTGTTGACTTTCTCTTGGGTAACAGAGAAACCTTGTTAAGCACTCTCTTGATGCAAATGAGGGACATAGTGACTAAGATCATACGAGATTGTGGGAGGAGAGTAATCCAGGGAAGGCGGTGGCCCCCAAAGAGTATCGTGAAAAGATCTTGGGACAGCATAGGTGCTTATATTTGAAAGGGATGCATGCTGCCAAAATTAGAGTGCAAAGAAGGGTGCCTCTCAGAGGGTGCATTTGACCTTGGTACATATCAGCACTGAACAATATTAACTAAAACTAATTTCAAACCATCAAAGCAAATTGTGTATAACAGCGGCGCCTGTGTACCTGAACAGATTAAGAGAATTTCAAGGCATTGTGGTGGGGTTTTCATGGGCAATTGTCTAAAAGGATCCTACAGATCCTGTGCATTTCAGGTCGCTCCACTGGCAGGTCAGGGGCTAATATCTAGAAAAAAGCAATGATGGATCCCTGTAGAGCTTTAACAGTCTTTGGGAGACCCAGGAAATAGAGGTTACTTGTCTGGGCCAGAATTTTGAAGTAATCGAGTTGGTCACTTAGGAGTGTTAGTTCCTTCTATGTGCATACTAGGTTTTGCTCGTGCCCTTCAAGAACTGTAGCTGTATCGTCCATGCTTCCCTCCAGTGAAGCAGTATTATGACCTAACTCGAGGATTTCACACTGATGCAATGGTGGTTGAGGCTTTGGTGAGTTCCTCCCTTATGATATTAGTCACTATGTCCCTCATATGCATCCACAGGGTGCTTTCCAAGGTTTCTCTGTTACCCTGGAGAAAGTCAACAAAAAGAAATTTATGTTACCCATAGACTGTCATGCAGCAGAACAGAGTTAGGGTTATGTAGATTTGGTATTAAATTAATAGAAACCAAGAGGATAACAAGCTGCCTGTTGATATAATGGCTGAAAATATGGTCTCAAGGAGTTGATGTATGAATGGAAAAGGGTGTGTTTTTATGTACTGCAATTACATTTGATTTTGATACTACAATCCCACTTTTTTTGTTAGAGTAACAGAAAGAACTGTTTTAAACTTCATAAAGAAGCCAGTTACAGCCAAAATATCTGTTAATCTTAAAGACAGACTTGCTGTTCGATTAAAAAGGTTGTTAGCTCAACCGCAATAAAGCATAAACATTTTACATGTTACTTATACAATTCTTCTATTTTCTATCTTAACCAGGATTCGTCCTCAGAGCAGTAAAGAACAAGCAGAAGGATGTCATATATGTACCTGGGTTTATCCTGGAGAACCCCAGGTTCTTCTGGGTAAAGACAAGGCCTTCACTTATGATTATGTGTTTGATACGGACACCGAACAAGTTAACATCTATGACACTTGTGTACGCGGCTTGGTGGAGGGATGCTTCCAGGGTTACAATGCAACCGTGTTGGCATATGGTCAGGTATGTATGTATGTATGTATATCATGTATAATCATGTATTTAGTTCAGATATTTAAATATTATTTTAAATGTAACAAATTAACATAGTAGGTAAGGTTGAATAAAGACCAGTTCAACCTATATGTGTATGTGAATGTGTGTCTGTATTTATACGACACTGTCCATACTACTGCCATACCACACATACTGCCCAAAGGTAGAGTATCTGGTTATTTTTACCATGTATCTTGTGTTTCTGCAGCATAGTCCGCATTGTTTTGTGCTTTTAACTTGTTTCCTTATTTTTTATATTATATTAACTCTCTTTGCTTATACTTTTAGGCTATGTTCACACTATGTCCAGACCAGATCTGGAGCAGATCTGCTAATGCAGTACAGTGCATTTTTGCTGCGATTTTGCCGGGTTCTGGTGCTTTTTTTGTTGTTGTTGTTTTTTTAGCTTAAATGGGCTTTCAGGTGCAGTCCAGTGTGTTCCAGTGCAGTTTTTATGCGTTTACATGCATTCTAATACGTTCCGTACCAGAGAAAATAAGACAAGCAGTATATTTTTTGTCTGGACTGGAATGGACTGTGCTGGTGTAAACAGAGGCCAGACATACCATAGCGATACATTGGGATGCTTTTTTGGTCCGGGAACAAACTGTTCTGGTCCGGACATGGTATGGACATGGTGTGAACAAGCCCTTAATGTTTAACTCATTCATCTATGTTTTATTTTTAATTCCAGACAGGCGCAGGGAAAACTTACACAATGGGTAGTGGCTTTGACCTTATGGTGGGCGATACTGAACTTGGCATTATTCCCCGTGCTGTCCAACAGCTCTTCAACACAATCCAGGAAAGAATATCTACAGCTCAGGAAAATGAACGGCCTGAACCCAGCTTCAAAGTCAGTGCACAATTTCTGGAAGTAAGTGACTATACTGTTGAGATAATGTTGCAGCGTTTTCTTCATTAGTACAACAGTTTCATAACATATATCACATATTGAAATATGCATGGCGGATAATGTGTTTTCCTCACTTTTGGTCCTGCTGAAGCATTTTTCTTCAGACAGAAATTGAAGGAAAATCTGCAACAGAAATTGTGAAAGGGAAAAAAAACTATTGGGGTTCAACCCTTCCACTACTTTGGAAGAATTACGTAAACTCCTGCACAACCTGTATACGGAAGAAGGGCAAGTCAGTCCAATGTTTGGGACTTGTTAAGATACCTTCTCATTCCAGACGGTGCAGTTTTTCTTCTGCGTATCATCCTCAGACCATTGGGCAAACTGAAAGGGCGAATCAGACCCTAGAACAGTATCTCTGCTGTTTCTCTTCATTTTCCAAAGATGATTGTGTTTCTCTGCTTTTGTTAGCTGAATTTGCTCTGTCCATTTTGCTACAAACCAGTCCTATTTCTTTGCCAGTTATGGTCATAATCCAGCCTTATATTCAGCTACAATCCGTGTATTCCCTCCTCCCCGCTGGGCGCTGCTCTTTGTCCCAGTAGGGAGAAACTGTGACAGCCGGCCAAGCACTGCAGAAACAGAGGGCTGTGAGCGGCCGGCGTCTCTCCTCCCACACTGCTCAGCCTCCTGTCACAGATTGGTAGAGCAGTGTGTGGGCGGAGACACCCCGCGCCATCACAGGAGGCTGAGTTCTCCTTCCTGCACCGCTCGCTCAGCCTCCTGTGACAGCATGTCAGGAAGGAGAGCCAATGCAAACACCCAGATATCAGTGACCGCTGAGTGTTTGTACATAATTGAGGACAGAGTATGGTTACGATATCCTCAATTATGAATGAATGGGAAGTGATCTACATCTCCTCCTGTTCATTCATAGTTGTGGTTATAGTAAACATACTCTCATGTTAAAAATGAACAGGAACACTCATAGGGGATTCCTGTTCATTGATAACTGGGGTGCAGAAAAAGAGATTGGGGACTCTGTGCCCCCAATCTCTTTTTCTATTTTAAAAGGGAAATATCAGGGGTCTGTTTAGACCCCCAATATTTCCCCCGGAGCCCCTAAAAGTAAAGTAAAAAATAAAAATATTTAATCAAAATAAATATAAAAAAATTTAAAAAGTTTACAAAAAGTAAATAAAAATAAAATATTTGAAAAAATGGGAAAAAGTTAAAATAAAAAAATTTTCGGTTTCGGCCTGACATTTTTTAAATTTCGGTTTTGTTTTTTAAATGTGCATTTTGGTGCACCTCTAGTGTTTACATAAAT